GCCCCAACTTCAAGTTCGTCTTCCCATGCTTTTGCGCCCCACGACCTTGGTTGTGCTTGATACGCGGAGGGAGGGAGGGAGTTGAGGAGGTCTTCGATGGTGGGTTCGGTGTCGTTGGGAGTTACGAGGATAGAACGAGATGTGCTTGATTCACTTGATGGACTAAACTCGTCGAGGTGAGGAAGGGAGGGTAAGAATGCGGAGTCAGAATTGGATGAGTTGGAGCTGGAGTCTTCGCTGGATGCGGATTCGTGTGATGTTAAGGCGGGGAGGGGGAGTTCTTCTGGTTCGGCGACGAGTTGTGCGTTGTCATCTGTAATGAATTTTAATACCTCGTCACCATCAAACTCATTGCCACTAGCACTAGCTTCGCTGCCGCTCGCACCAGCGTCGCTCCCACTCGCACTGCGCTCAAACGTCTGGACCGTCGCCCTCACCCTCCCAGGCCTCAACGCGGACCTCCCAAGCGTCTTCTTCAACTCCGCACCCGAATTCGCACCACCCAACTTGCCCCTAACCCTCTTCAACGCCTGCACATCCTGTTCCTCATCCTCCTCATCCTCATCCTCCCACTCCGCCTTAAGGACCTCCAAATCGCCCCTCGACACCTTTGCCCTCTTCAAACTGCCCATAACCCGATCATGCACCATCCCCTGCCTCAATGTCCTACTCGCATCGAACAACGCGTCTTTCCATAAGGCATTCAATTCAAGATGGTCATAATCCTGCCTCTTCATCCGCATGAACGTACGGCCCGATAAGTGATTCTTCACGACGAAGGTGCTTATGTCTCGGGAGACGGGCACGGGCAATTTCCCGCCGGATTTGAGGCGGAGAGAAGAGGAGAGGTACGTTGCGAGGTCGGCGGGGGTCCATTCCTTTGGGTTGTTCTAGGGCGGGGTTAGGATAATGCAATGTGATAGTAGTGAGATGTAATGTACATACCGGAAGAGAATCCACCTCAATCTCCGAGGCTGTCCTATCATGTGCAGCCATCGATGGGAGACTCTCATGGCGTTGTTTAACACGAACAGTCAAAGGCGGCGTAGGGGGAACACCTTCGCCGTCGCTTATGAAACCAGACACGAAATGCGGCATAGGGACCGGAGGAGGGGCTGGGATGGTGTTCAGGATTGATTTGTCTTTGGATGGGGAGTAGGCGTGTTTGCGGGGGACATAGCGGGTCTTCGAGGACTTGGGGGAGATGGGCACGGGCGGGGTGTAGTGGTGGTGTGAATCGGCGGATTTGTTTGAGGAGGAGTTCGAGCGGGTGAGGATGCTGCTTGAGGAAGTCTTTATTGCTGGAATTGGGGAATATGAGGGGTGAGACGGTAATTAGACACTGAGGACATACCATATGGATGGGTGGAAGAGTCTTTGGGCATAGAGGGCATGGGCATAAACGAGGACGACACAGGGGAAGACATAGGAGAAAGAACGAAAGAAAGGAAACGAGAAGGGAGACGAAGGTGAAGGGGGAAGTGAAGGGCCGTGACTTGTGTGACGTCGTTGCTTCCGGCTTTAGGTCATGGTTGCCGCGCCGGCAGACGGATCCCAGTCGATCTCCTCCATGTCGAAATCCCTCTTTATTCTCGGTGCTACAGGCTACATTGGAGGTAAGAATCCTCTATACACACCATATACACTCGGTATTAACCCCGCGCAGGCTCCGTCCTCAAAGGCGTCCTCAGCACCTTCTCCTCCCAATTCACCGTCACCGCCCTCGTCCGCTCGTCCTCCCAATTCGACGCTGTTCGCTCCTTCGGTGTCGACAACATCATTCACGGCTCACACGAAGACCTCGAGCTCGTCAAGTCCCAGTCTGCCAAGTCCGACGTCGTGATCAACTGCGCGGATGCCGACGACTTGCCTCTGACCATGGCTGTCCTTGCGGGTCTCAAAGCGAGGTCCGGGAGTGGGGAAGGCGAGAGCAAGCCCATCCTGATACACACGAGTGGGACGGGTGTCGTTGCTGATCAGGCCGAGGGAGAGTTCATCCCTAGTGCGCACAAGATCTGGAATGTGTGTAACGTCTATTATTTTATTTTTATTTTATTTATTCTGAATTATGATAGGATAATAACGAGGACGACATACGTAGCATCCCACCAGAGCAACCCCATCGTCTCATCGATCTCGAGTACGCCCCCTAGCCTTGCTCCTTAATCTCCCCCCAAACTCTAACGCCACACCCCTTCCAGAATCTTCCACGCAGACGAAAACGGCTACCTCTCCGCATATATCATCGCACCCAGCTGCATCTACGGAACAGGTACTGGGCCTGTTAATAAGTTATCTCAGGTGTGCATTCCCTCCTTCTCGTCCCCACCCCAGTCTAATTGTCCGTTCGTTCATCCACCCACGCAGCAAGTCCCCGGCGCAATCCGCATTGCCATAAAACGAAAGGAAGCAGTCTACATCGGAAAGGGTACAAATAAATGGAATAATGTGCGTCCTATCACTCCTTATGCCTTCTCCCTCCCACTGACGATCGACCCCAGGTGCATATACTCGACCTCGTATCCCTCTACACCCTCGTGCTGCAACACGCGCTCTCCCTAAACACCGAGAACACAGAGAAGACATCCCCCTATGCAAAATTCTTCTTCGGGAGCGTGCAAGAGCATGTTTGGGGCGACGTCATAAGGCAAATTGGGCAGATATTGCATGAGAAGGGCGTCTTAGAGGCGAGGGAGGCGAAGAGTGTCACGTTGGATGCGGTGCCTAGTCTGAGGTGCGTTTCATTCTTTATTATTATTCATTTATTTCTTGGGTGTTAATTGTGACGTAGGTGGGTAGCGAACAACTCGCGCAGCTCCTCCGACAGAGGGTTCGCGTTGGGGTGGAGGCCCAAGGCGCCCGCGATCGAAGAGACGCTGGAGGAGGATGTCCTTGCGACGTTGCAGAAGGATGGGGTGAAGATTAACGCTTAAAGAACCGTCACGTCGAGTACAGACGTCTTGCATCGTGGATTTTGAATATGCACACATGCCCCGGGATGATCTAATGAAGGTAGAGATGAATGATATAACATTGAAGGATGTAGGATGTAGGATTTGAGTTGCGCATGTGATGTATAGTTTTACCAGTATCAGTAGCCAAAGCCATTACCATTATCGAGGATATATCTCGAATATCTTAATTCGATTTTATGAGGGGAATGTTCCAATACTTATTAACGAGATTGAACTAGTAATTATGGGATCCGATTTAGGCTTTCTCCGAATATGTCTTTTGGAAGTGAGTAATGCTTGGAACTAAGTAGTCATAACGCATATGTGCGATATGCCAATGTTCTAATTCTTGATTTACTCTACCTTCGCGTCATGAGTGTCGTTGGCCTGCTACTAGTAATATTTAAAAAAAAAAATCAAATAAGGTGCAAATTTATTTCCCTAAATACATTGTGGCTCGATAAAATATCCAGGACGTCCTTAGAATCTCCGAACCTCGACACGTGTGTCAGTGTCCAGGACGTTTAACCATCCATCCATCATCCATCAATTAAATCAAATCAATCGTTCCTGGTATTCGATATCGCGTGGCTTAAGAAGTTCTGAGATTAAAAACGTGCTTGTATACATTCGACTCGGGTGCGGTATAACTTTGCATCCCAGTTATGGCCGCCCGCTCAATCACTATGCTACACATTACTCCGGATTTCCTCGATATGAATTCATTTCCCATCGCCAGGTCACTTGTTTCCAGTGGCAAGCTCTCCAATAGGCTGACACTCAATAATATTTAAACAACGCTGAATCAATCTGAGCCTGAGATGGGCCCCAAACCGCAAACCCCCGGTCCATATCAGTGATCACGACCATTCGCGTCGTCCCATCTCTTCGTCTTTAACTTCGTCCCAGTCCCTACTAGACAGTAGAATGACATGAGGTTAGAAATATAGCGGAAGACTTTACCTTCCTTCTGATAAAGCTATGCTAGGCGAGAATATTGAGAGAATATAATTATTAATTATTCATGGCTTTTATATTCACTGGCCCGCCGGGGTCGTCTTTGAGACGATGATGTAATTGAAATATTGATAGAGTGCAGGAGCCTCAGAGGTGAGGTTTAAGAAGATAATGAGAGTAGATTCAAAAAAATTGGCGATGGAGGGAGTACTAGGGATTTGGGAGAGGTGACAGATCGTGTACCAGAAGGGCCGCCGAGGGGGGTTCAGGTGAATGAGCCTGGGAGGAAATGCTCTACTGGTACTTAGATCTGGTCATGATTCAGCCTTTCCAATTTTTTTTTAGGAGTTATTGTCTTCTTTCGCAATTCTTTTAGATAGCTTGGGGGAAGCGGAAAATGTGGAGGTTCACTCGACAGCTGTAATATTCTAACCGGGGTGATAACCATTGTTTGCACGGAGTGTGAATGTACACCTGCAAATATATTCAAATTTTAGGAATGCACAGTTGAGGTCGCGTGAGGCTCTCAGAAGACATCGAGGCGGATGTGGTGATGAGGTAAATAGCTTTGAAGACTCCCGGTTCAACTATTCAGCCGCCGCCACGCTGTAGTCTTGGGCTGTCTGAGCGCGTGTTGTTACTACGTGCAGGCTACTGTGAATTTTATATATTTCCGTGAAAATAGTGGAGAGGAGCTGGGAGGTGTGCTTGATAATCACTAAGAACGCGTAACTCCAGCCCATGTCAGCAGCACATCGTTGTGAGGGCGCATGGCATCGACCTCACCCATTTATGGTTCTGCTGTTTATGTAAAAGCCCTATTGGGCTGAATAATTTCTGATATACCTCGACGCATGTGTGCTCTCGCACATTTAAAGATGAATCCGTTGCGAATTGATGGACTGCCAGCCTCAAGTTGAGTACCGTGATGAAATAAAATAAACTCTGATGATTAATGAATAAGATGATGGACACTTCTATGCCATCTTCTATTCGGATTCATGTTTACATCTCAATTTGCAGAGGACATAGAGACGTCTGATTAGGAGGTAAGAGTAAAGAATAAAAATCACAAAAAAAACATTTCCATGGCGCGACGCAGGATCGAACTGCGGACCTTCCAAGCTTCCGCCTGATGCTCTCCCAACTGAGCTACCGAGCCGACAACGGTGCACAAAGAATATTACGTAGCTTGATGTAGATGTCCTTTGAGGAAGATGAGGCGGCGACAAATATAACGTTTGGATATATTCCAAGAAAGGAAAAGAACGTTAATGCCGGCACGATGATGGATAAATACTTATTTTGATTCATTCACGATCTAGATGTATGTGGATATAGACGTTCTTCTGTTCCTTAGTTAATATAAGTTCGGGTGGCCATAGGACGTGGTGACGTCCCGGGTGGTTGGCAACTTCTGAGCTGCAGAATATTTAAATTTTGAAATTTAGCGACAGTCCTTGGATGGAGATTACAGGACATCAAAAAAATTTTCTTCCTTCGAAATAAGTAATCTTCTTGAAGCATCTTTCGTGACTTGATTCTATCCTCTATCGAGGATGATGAACCGGTCTACGGGCCGGCCACCGCACCTTTCAGACGAGATTCGAGGGCGCTTCACCTCTTGTTTCGCTCCACGTATATGCAACATACCAAAACATATCTCCAATCTCAACGTAATTATCGCGTTTTGATCGGTTATACTTCAAGATGGCGGTCAATTCCCTATTTCGAAATGCACGGCGATCGCCCGTGCCACGATAAGTCCCTAATTGACCGTCTGTAGGTCCACAAAGTATTTGTCACCCATTGGAGTTTTCCGGAAGGAACCCGCATAATCAACGCCCAAAGATAACCATGTATGCGGTCACATCTGAAAAAAAAAAAGTGGGTCTCAAGTAATCTGTAGTTGTAGTCAGTTGTAGCCACTTATGGTACGTGGCGATTGTTAAACTTCTAGAGAAATCCAGTGATGTCTGGCTGGCCTGACAAGCCTTGAGGACTTCAATGTTATCAAGCACAATCATGGAAAGCACCAGATAAAATGCATTAGTAAGTAGCCGAGTTTATTCTAAGTAATTTACTCTAATTATTACCAAATACTCTAGGTAACGGTTGTTCCCGATCAAAGTGCTCCTGCGACAATTCCTATTGCAAGCAAGGATGCGCAGACATATGGAACTTCAGAATTTGAGGCTATCCCTCAATGAATGCCCTAATCGAAGCCCTTCGTTGTCACAGTTCCACTCTGGGAAATCTAAAATAAGAGGAAGAGAATTCCAGCCCCGGGGCATTCTGCTTCAGTCAGTGACCGACGTTGGACAAGGCTGTAGGACATTGGTGGGCTACTAGACAAGAATCAAGATCAAGATTGCGGGGGGACAAATATTCATCACGCAAACTGGATTTTCGTTGGACGGTCAACCAAACGTGGTTATCACTGTGGCGTTACCGCATATAACTGCATGCGAGATTGATGTGTTCAGGGGATCGGGTCAACGAGGTCAACACTCCTGCCTGCCAATTCAAATCTATGGTACATGGATAAACGCCTTTCCCGCAAGCTGGAGACTCATCCTTCCCCATCTCATTGCAGACCTCTGTAGCGTGCCCTACCTCTGTGCTTCCTGCGGCTCGTAAGACGTATATATCATGGGGGAGTTTCTGCGCCAGTGGTACGATAGTCTTGCACAAACCCAGCCTTCAGGTTGGAGTGGAGCGAAGAAATCTCGACTGCTTTCGACCGCGTGTTTCGTCCCTCCTACTTTATCTCAATATCATCTCCCCCCCTTGGACGTTCTTTTTCCTAGCACCGAGACTCCCTTACTCGCAATGCCAGTCACCACTAATAAAGTTAACCCGGATATCTTTGGAAACCTCATGATGTTGGGTGAGTTTATCCATCCCCCCCGTCTATCCATCGTCCTTTTTTTAAACCAGATGTATAGCCTCGGTAGCCGAAAACATTGAGCATACAGACTCCTTCGAACATACGGAATCCCTCGAGTCTTTCCTCTACTACAGGTTTGGCTTTTCCTGGCTACCAAGGCTCCCGGCTCCTCCTCCTAGCACTGGTCCTCGATCCTTTCAAGACTTAAGAAGGATTGCAGGTGACACAGAGACCGTCGTTACAAAAGGATACGAGTCCGTTATTCAAGCCTTCCTCACCCCTATGATGGAAGGCCAACCGCCCCCAGGCACCATATGGGACCTCAGTCCTTCCTGCATACAAACCTTTCAGCAAGTTATACCTTACGGCGAGAACATAATCTGCAACGTCCTTCCTAATAAAACTTACTATTTTATCTTCCCAAACGACAAGAATAGATTTTCCGGTGGAACGCATTGGTTTCTCGTTACTGACCACGCAGTCTCCGCGTTGGAGTGCCTGCGAAGGAGGTTTTCCTCCCGTTTCACCGCCGCTCTTTATCTTCTAGACAGAGGCATCCCGTTTTCCACTCGCGTAGCCAACTTCCCGTTTCAGTCCTCTCCTTGTCCTAACTACGTTCCTCGCCCCCCCTATACCACCCCGGGAAATCTTCGCCTCCCCAAACGACCAATTGGACATAAATTTGGAGCCGTTGATTACGCCAACTATAGGGCCACACTAACTACTTTCTTTACAAACACGCGCCGCACGCGCGCTGCCCTTCTTCAAGGAGGGATACTGTGGAGACTCGCCAGGGACTTTGAAGGGTCAGGGTATGGCGAGAACGAAATCCTTAAAGGGCCCAGCTCCGAGGCCATCGAGACCGCCGCCGGCGACGTCTTCACTTCCCCTGATGGCAAAGTCGCTTTCTGGGATGATTCTTTGACCGAGGAGGAAATTGATATATTATGCGGGGTATATCGTCTGCAAACCGGTGAGTTCCACGATTCGGTTTCATCGCACATCTATTAAACATTGGATAGGTAACGGGAATCAAGAGTCCTACGTCTCTTGGTGGCCTAGACCCTCAGCGTGGCGTGGAAGTGGGTTGAACGTCGGGTACTGGAGCCCTGCCTGCGAATCGTGGTTCAAGCGTCGATTGGAACAAATTCAAAATGGAACCGCTGAGATGAGGTCTGCCAAGCGATGGAAGAGCTCTCTAGTACTGTTGAGAAAACAGGCAAAAATTGCACAGACTAATGAACTCCTCGCTTCAGACTGGATTAAGTCAAAATTGAACCAGTAAGTTCATAACTAAATGATGTCTCTGTTTTTGTTAATTTCACATTCTCCAGCCCTCGTTTCAATGCTCTACCGAAGTTGTAGTTTTTATATCACTCAAGAATTCGTCTGCATATGCTCCTACCATGTTTTTTGATAATCATTCCTAGTTACGCATCCCTTCCTCTGATTTGTTAAATTCTTCTTAAATTCTGATGTCGACTCAATCACCCTTCGTGATTCACTACCGTAACCACAGTGACATAGCTAGAAATGATGCAATATTGTCTATAAATGATAAAGTACTACTATACCACAGAGTTTCAAGTCCACAATATTTATTGAGTTTAGATTATTGGTCTATTCGACAAAATCGATACAAATATCCGTAATGGAAGAAGGGCCAGTTAACCTGGGGGCGCGATCCTGGACCATCACTGGCGGTAACCTACTTTTAGCTACCCTCAGCGTTGACTAAGTATAACAACTGACATCACCACTACCGCCGCCGCCTTTTGACCCTATCACTTCATCCAATTTGACATTTATTGGTGGAATTATATTATAGAATGTGTGTTTCAACTTCAAATTTCGACCAAACCTAGAGAACAAATTTGTTATACCTATTATCCTCAGCCCCTCGGACGGGCTGGCAAATCAACGCGAGTCTTATATGCTACTTTATTAGAAAGTTTAGAGCATATTTTTGAAGGATGGAGGGTTGTGAGATGCTCTTATTAAAATTCTCGAGTATGGCCTCAATATGACCTTCAATCTGGTGGTAGAATAACGAACGTTGTGCGGGAGTTCAACTTGAAGAGGATGTGTTAGCTTCAATGATCATGTTTCTATTCCTAATGACTTTCCAGATCCTGCTGATTAGATCGATGAACTTGAAGAGAGGGAGGAGAAGGAATGAGAAGGACGAACAGAAGAGAAAGAGACTATGAAATCCGACAATCTTTACTAAGTGTATTTAAATAGTAGTACCTGTCACGGACAGCGACTCGTATTGCTTCGGTATACCACTAAAACAGCGTATTATCCTTCACAGTAATCCTGATCACAGCAGAAAGTTGGCAAGTGTGAGGTGTCGATTTTCCGATCTTCTCTTATATACTATGACTCGAAATTATCTGAAAAAGTTATACAGCTCTGAATATGGATAACGGCACAAAGGCATAGTGCTTACGCGCGCGGATAATAATAATATGACGTATTAATTTCATCAACTAGCTGCAGAAGATTCGCATATACCAAGTTCTTGTAGATGCGAAACAAACACGTTGGGACCCGTTGTGCCCGTCGTTCTCTGGCTCGTAGTCTTCCATAAACATAAGCCTCTCGATTATCCTCTATAATATCAAAAAAGGTGTTGGAAACAGAAGTGAATAAGCCACGATTTCGACCTGGGCTTTCCTGCGTTTCCGAATCGTTTGTTGCCTTGACATGTTGACCTTGCTTCTCTGCCTGCTTCCGTAACCGAAGAACAAGCGGACAGACGAGTAGTGTGGACTGAAGCTATTCGGGGTTAAGATCTCGAGCAGAAAAAGTATATGTACGAAGTCAGCTAAACTTTAAATCAGTTTTGTCGGTATTTGGAACTACCTAAAGAAGATGTCAGCGGGCATTTCGGGCATTTTTAACATGAACGAACCTCCTACCAAGATAAAAATAAAGTTGACAAAATGGGTAAGACACGCAACAAAGTAGTAAAGCATGCCATCTTGTTCGTAAAGGCGCAGAAGCTTCATTCTGGAAGTGCCAGTGGGTTTTGGAACTGACATTTTCATTACCGATCGAAGAACTTACCTCGATACTTGGAACGGCCTCTTGTTTTTATATCTCCCTGTCTTCATTAGTGTCATTCCAAATATGATAGTATAGACCAAGAGGGTCCTGCTTAGAATACAGCGGATGGTTGATTGAAAGCATGACCAACAAGGCATAACTTCGTTACAGCTGTTAAAACCTCGTCGGCAAAGGGTTTCGCAAGATAGGAACTTGAAGCA